TCTCTGTTTTGGTCCTCAATGAAATATGGGAAACTATCCTATCCACATATAAATATGCCTGTGGCGGTATATCTGGTATTAAAGCTAGCTGAGTATATACATCGTAATTGGTAACTTGATGGCTGTTGCTTTCCTGTATTAATGGCTGGGTGTCTTGTTGAACTGGTACACTTTGGAAGTACTACATGTTTATAGAAAAATAAAATTATATTTAATAAATATTTATTCAGTTTCTAACACATAAATAAAATATAATACAATGGTAGGTTAAAAAAATGCTGTATATATTGTTGCAAACTAAATAAATATCAATCTATTATAGAGCTACACCAGATTCTTGCTGTTAAATGTTATACTTTCTTTGTGTCATTGGCATTAATTGCAACAAATACCAACAATGCAAAAACAAGATACAAATTGTGCATTGACCAGTATTTAAACAGTGTACTGCATTGACTAATAAAAAAAGTTATTTGATAAACTTATCTGGTAGTAATTTACTCTGTCTAACATAGTTCGGAAAGGGTCTGTATTATATCTCCTATTTTATAAATATTCCCCCTATTACAGACTGTTAATAACCTCTTTCAGAGAGCAAAATTTGACATTTGGACTTGTAGTTTAATTAATTAAAAACCACTTGTTCTGTAATTTCTACGATGGTTTTCTTATCACGCCCCTCTTTAATTAACACATCCTCTTTTAGTAACCTCCCCCCCCTCCCCATAACAAAACATTTTTTCAAGGTTTATCCTCTTGAAGCAAGGAGGTTTTAAACTATGTCTAATCAAGGATGGATCCAGCATGATTTAGTAGGGGGGGGGGGGTGCTCTACCAGCTCTGGTGCTGAGTTGTGTCTGTCATGTGTGCCGCCAGCCCATCAACTTGCTTCACTACTGCAAAGTCTTGCTTCACTACTGTATTTGAATTGTTGTGCACAGTTCGCTTATCATCATGTTATTGCTCAAATTACTGTATCTCATTTTGTCTCTAATATTTTTTCCCTTTATCATGAAAAATAGCATGCCCCCCCACCCTCTGGCCAGGGTAGGGGGATGCACCCCCACTCCCCCAGTAAATCCTTCCCTGTGTCTAATGGCTATGTTTTTGTTTGTCATACAAATCCACACAAAAGTCTATATTCCTCTTATTAACATTATGGTTGAACATAGACTATCACACTGATAACAAAGTAGCCTGCCTCGCAGACATCCTTAAATGGCTCAGAGCCATAAGGATGTGTGTGAGGCAGGCTAATAACAAAGCTATGGCTAAAGTTATATAAGCCACTGCTAGCCAGAGAAATGTACTGAAAAAGAAGGAGAGTGCTATTCTTGACTTGTAGCTATGTGGGCTGAATCATGTTGGTGCCATTTTTTCAAAAGGATCTCGTTATCTTTCATTGAATTTGGCACCAAAATGGCAGCTGTTAATTGTCTTCTAACTCTCAAGGGTTGGTTGCAAGTCAAGAATACCAAGAATAACCTCTGACTATAAGCCCTTGGCTTATATTCTTTTTTAAGCAATTTTTGATTGGCTTATACAGTACATGGGTGCTCTTTTCAGTCTTGTGTTAGTATATAATAAACAAGTCAGTCATAAACAGGAAAATAAACATGTATTAATAACAAATAAAGACAATGAGTGGGGGTTATATTCAGGGGGGGGGGGCAAGCTGTAACAAATTTGAGCTATTCTAGGTTCATATTTATGTCTCGATTTAAGTTTATCTTTGTAAAAGAGCATTCAACCACAATAATGTTCCCTTCAATGTTTCCATGTGTTGCATCCATTGTTTGTTTGGTATACCAACTGATATTTTGCATAGATTATTTTGGTCTGCATTTCCAAGAATTTATTACTCCGTAAATTTTGGAAGCTTTCCTTGCATCTTCAGCAAATACATTAACATCTTCCCTGGAAACTTTGAACCAACATCCACTCAATACCTAATAGTTGTAAATCAACAAATATTAAAATATGTGCATATTTTATGATTTTTATCCCCCGCACAAAAATATTATTAAGGACGCAAAAATTTGCTAAACAAGCATTATTCTCAACTGTAAAAGAAATTATTCATGATATTAACTCGCCTTTGATTTTTTCTCATGCTGATATTGAATATATCACAACGTTTCTTCGCCATACAATACATGCGTTTCAATGTCAATGTTGAATTTTTAAATTAATATCTTGCAGCGTGATATTTTTCTTATGAGCCACACGAAAATGTTGCGGTAATCCATTTTCTTAAAAAAAGAACACATTTCCCACACATTCTAACTGGATAGACAACTTTATGCACCATGAAACGCCTTCGAGAAGTTTTTCGCTCCTTGGATATAGCGTCCGCCATTATGTATGGACGCCATCTTGAATACAGGATTTCCCAGTCGCTCGGAAACCTAACCCATTCCCATGATCCAACGCGAGCGACTGGGAACGAGTCAGGTATATTACCACGTAAGCATCTTTTCGAAAGGCTGGTTATACATGAAATGTTTCTGCTGCTATCAGATTCCGGTTCTGTATTGGACAGAGGGTAACTCTCTCCACTGTTAATCCAATTTATATGAACTAGCCATAAATTTTGCGATAATAACTTATATAATAACCTGGAAAGTGTACTGGAACATATTCGCATTTTCGCAAGTGTTACATATCATGAAAAATCTGAGGTTTTTGTGCTTGTGCCATGTTATTGTTATTACTCGTGGAAGCGGAATGACATATCTACATTATACTTAAATTTCAACATTATACCTCGAACATTACCATGTTTGCTGAATTTCGTCAAATATCGATATCGAAATTAAAGTTTATTAATCTGAAACATACTGATCGAACAAGTAAATGCTGCAGTGTCTTAAATGTTCAATTTGTCCCACAAGGAAGCTTATTTTCCTATTTTATGCACAGCATACGATAGATACGTTGCATGCATTGCTCATGTTACTCCTAATTTAAAGTAAAAAACCCCTAAAAGTAGCCAGAAAAGGGGTTCAAATAATCTACTTTTGAATAATTGAATACAGTTGAATGTGAGGTCCAATCTAAAGGCCCTGTGACAGCCTAGACCTAGGCCTTCTAGTCTTATTTATATTTTTTCATATTCAGCGCTTTTTCACATGAAAAGACTGGGACTAGGTGATTTGGGGGCGGGGCGGAGGAACCAAGCCTAGAAGGCCTAGTGGATTTCCCAACAACAAGGCCAAAACTGCCCTGAAACTGCCCTGGTTGCGAAATGCCCAATTATTGCGTTCTCAAACAGAATTATTTGCAACTTAACGGCGAATTTAAACCGATACAGGTAAAATAAACTCATTTATAGTATAAACTTACTATTTTTATTTGTATACACGTCTAGAAAATCGGGGATTTTATCATAAAGTTTGAAGCAACACTATTATTTAATATGTTGACATTTACTTGACAAGGTGTAGCGAAAGCACAAAATGAGTCAAAATATATACCAAAAGTAGAATCTTTTATGAAATTTTGTCTTATACCCAACTACATTAATATATATTTTCTCAATTTTGGCAAGAAGCAGTCTTGTGTTTGTAAAATATACAAACACATATACAATTATAATTTATTAAATAAAACGGATACATATATTATTAGCCCGTACAGTACTGTATATAAAAACGTACATTGTTTACAAATGGTGTATCCGTAATATTTGAACAATAATTTCAAATTCCTCATTCCCAAATATAGTTATTCAAAGCAAAACAGTAGATTGTCTTGCGAATAAAAGAATTATTATTTTGTGCTTTCGCTTCACCTTGTCAACATAATAATAGTGTTGCTTCAAACTTTATGATAAAAACCCCGATTTTCTAGACGTGTATACAAATAAAAATAGTAAGTTATACTATAAATGAGTTTATTTTACCTGTATCGGTTTAAATTCGCTGTTAAGTCGCAAATAATTCTGTTTGAGAACGCAACAATTGGGCATTTCGCAATCAGGGCAGTTTCAGGGCAGTCGTTGGGAAATCCACTAGGCCTTCTATTCTCAACACTCGTAATGATATGCGAAAACAAATTAAGGCTAAAACAAAGTTGTTATGAAACGTATTGCATATATTATGTGCATGGATGACTGATGTAGCTATAAAGGTGCGGACAACACCCAGACGCTCGCTCTTGTTCAGTTCCACATTTTGAGAGGCAAGTGGCAAACGCAAACAGCACGACTCACCCGAATTTGTTCAAATGGCCGAAGTGGATGAGCAGTTTCCTGTGGAGGTTCCACCAGAACCTATGGTATTGGATGCTCAAGGTCAAGTACAACCGGCGCCGCTGCAGGCCGCTATCAATCAGGATATTCCCGTCCCAGACAACAACGATCTGCAGGTCATTATACTTATTAACAAATACCTTGTGGTAGTGATTTATTTAGCTTATTCGCCTGATTCCTGAGTTTTCCTCTAGTTAGGCATTCAGTGCTCGTTCTGATCATATAGTGTTCGGTTACTGTACATCGAAATACGAAGCTTATAGGTTTTACACGAGTTTTGTTTCGTGTATGTATTTTGTCTTTTGGTCTCGCATATTTTTCTTCTCATTATCATATGCTATTGTTAGTACGTTGTTCTTTCAAGCATATTATAAAATTTACAGACTCTAGGCGCCTCTGGGTCAATTTGAAACTCAGTAATTTTGCCTTAATATAAATAAATCATACTATTATCGTTCTACAATTGAGGAACTCTTCGTATATATATATTATCTGTTGCATTCACACCCTTGTCGTTTATAATGGGTATTCACCACATATTTGGCATACTTCTGCTTGATTATACATTACATAGTTATGAAGAATAGGCGAGAACTCGCCAAGGACGAGTTTTCGTCCGGAACATGTGGGTGAGAATTCGCCAATGACGAGTTGTCGTCAGTTAAATGTGGGCGAGAATCGCCAAGAATAAGATTTCGTTCTTAACATGTCATGTGGGCGAGAATTCGCCAAGGACGAGCTTTTGTTAGTTAAATGTGGGCGAGAATTCGCCAAGGACGAGATTTCGTCACTAAAGTATGGGCGAGAATTCGCCACTGATGAGATTTCGTCCGTAAATTGTGGGTGAGAATTCGCCAAGGACGAGATTTCGTCAGTAAAATGTGGGTGAGAATTCACCAAGGACGAGAGTTCGTCAGTAAAATGTGGCCGAGAATTCGCCAAGGACGAGATTTCGTCAGTAAAATGTGGGCGAGAATTCGCCAAGGACGAGATTTCGTCAGTAAAATGTGGGCGAGAATTCGCCAAGGACGAGAGTTCGTCAGTAAAATGTGGTCGAGAATTCGCCAAGGACGAGAGTTCGTCAGTAAAATGTGGGCGAGAATTCGCCAAGGACGAGATTTCGTCAGTAAAATGTGGGCGAGAATTCGCCAAGGACGAGATTTCGTCAGTAAAATGTGGGCGAGAATTCGCCAAGGACGGGATTTCGTCAGTAAAGTATGGGCGAGAATTCGCCACGGATAAGATTTCGTCCGTAAATTGTGGGCGAGAATTTGCCAAGGACAAGATTTCGTCAGTAAAATGTGAATCGAATTCGCTAAGGGCGAGATTTCGTCAGTAACATATGGGCGAGAATTCGCCAAGGGTGAGATTTCGTCAGTCACATGTTGGCGAGGGTTTGCCAAGTACTAGATTCGTTGGTAAATGTGGGTGAGGATTCGCTAACGACGAGCTTTCGTTAGTAAGTTTGCGTTTCGCCCAGGTCAAACAAACGGTATAATTATATTTATATCATTTTCAGTATTATGTTATCTCGACTTTGAAAGCCGAGTTCAAGGCTTTGCGGCAAAGCGTTGATGTGTTTACTAAGGCAACTGTGGAGAATGTGATTCAGTATTAAGATTATGACGTACGCTTCACGTCCGTTGTCCGAGTTTAATAAATTCGAGGCTTTGGACATGGTGGAAAATTTGAATAATGTCTCGCAAGAGCAGAAACATGCGAAGCATGCGTATCACCGTATGGTCTACCAAACGTTACTTGCCCAGATGTCTGTCTCGACGGAGCAATTTCGTAGTTTACTCTTGCGTTTGTTAGGTGATAAAGATCATGAACGTATCTTTGATATTGTCGCCATAGTAGAAAAGCGATTTCAGAGTCGTTCTCGCGATATTCCACAAGGATCTAATGTCAACACTTCAAATCGCCTTTTTTCCATATCGTCGAAATGTCGAGAGATGCTTTTATTGTCAGCGATTTGGACATTTTCAACCTCGGTGTATACTCAAGAAACGTGACGAAGAAACCCGTCGCAGAACGCCACAAGTCTCTGACGCCTCCTCGTCACAGGCAAAATGAACTGTTCTATTGTGTGCGTCATGTGTTGTGTGGTTTCTGTAGTTAGCATCTAGAAACAAATGTCAGACTTTAATACGCTATTTGTGTGGATTGATGACTTATATGTCTCGATAATAATTTAAACATGACGAGAGTTGTATTATGATAATTTGTTATTTATTGTTGCACATATTATGTTGATTCACTTGCGTTGTGCTTGTTTTTTTTTTTGTTTTTTTTTGGGGGGGGGGGTTTTATTAGTTGTTTTTCTATTGCTTTATTACAGTCCTAGGATATGAAAGCTTTGAAAAGGGGTATCTCAATCAGCCCTCTCTGCGTTCGCGGGGTCGTTGCGATCATATCCTTGCCGACTTGTTGGGGTCTGCTATAGGCATTGTTGATTGTTTGTTCCTGTTTTAGATACTGTTACCTCGCCCAGGTACGGCCAGTATTATATTTGACTGCGAAGTAAATGAATCGATCCGGCAGAACTGTGTGTTGCGCTGGGTCAATGCTTTTAGGGACCCCATTTCTGTCGGTGAGGGTATGACGCCCAATCATTCTCTTGTCCAGCGAGTGTCTAATGTGGAAAATGGTATCGGTATTGGGGATGTCAACACATTAGCCATACGAGATCCACAGACTTTTCACGCCGGGGAACTTCACCGTCATGCACAGTTTTGGACAGATACTGCGGAGAGAAATCCTTCCCACGATCATCAGGAAATTTTAAATTGGATTAACAATCGGGTTTCCGTTTTTCCCTATTTTCAGCATTTTAAGGGAATTTTTCAACAAGAGTCTTATGATTCCGATTCCCCACCTTCGAAACAGTTTCCAAATAATAAGATATGTGCACAGTTTCGGGATTTTATTGGACAGCCATCGTTGAGCGCCTTGTAATAGGTGCTTTCAAATTAATTGGGCGGGTTAGTGAGGTTGAACCTCCTCATCTAGTGCTGCCTCTCACCGTTGAACCCCACAAGCCACGTCTTTGTTATGACGCGCGTTTTCTCAATCTTTGGATGAAAGATAAGCCGTTTAAGCTCGATTCCTTGCGAGACCTTCCGCGTTATGTGAGTAACGATTCTTACCGAACTGTTTTGGATGACAAATCCGGATATGATCATATTTTCTTGACGGGATAAACGTTTAAGTTTAGGTAATCCTGCTGCGGATAGATCCGTTAAAGATTATCTCCGTCTAGTGACTGCCGAACAGTTACAAGCACGGATTACGCCCCAGCAAGCTACCCCCAAGTTGTCTTTGCATCTTCAGCGGAAGTTGGAGTCTTCTAAATCACAAATCGAGCGTTTTCTAGTGGCTCGCGATCAGGCCTATTTCAAAATGGCGTTTTTTAGTGGTGATAGGCCTGGCGACCTTGGCCAGGTAAAAGTTCCAGGGATCCTGCGCTTTCCCAATGATGATGGCATGCTTTTCAATCATATTTGGGGCAAGACACTGCGTGATGGTGATCAGACTGTCTTTGGTGTACGTCGCAATCCACATACGACGATTTCTCCAATTCGTGGTATTGAGCAGTATATGGATGTTGCTCGTCAAAATAATGAAGGTCGACCTCACTCGCGGGTATCTCTTTCGACCGACGACCCCTGAAGGAGGCATTCAGGATTCTCCATTTACGTCTTCTGCCGCAGAAGCTCGCTTGAAACTTTACTTGGGGCACATGGGGTCTGATGAGGGAGAGACGTTGCATGGTTTCAGAGCTGGTTGTGCTATTACTCTTGCGCTTACTGGTGCCGATTTGCCGGAAATCATGCAGCACGTGGGTTGGGCACGCCGTCATACAGCTCTGCATTATATGCAACTTGCTAAGGTCTTGCATCCGGAGGGTGCTTCAGCTCGTTTAGCTTCTGGCAATGCAGGAAATGTGGTCAATCCATGGCAAGATGTAAATCACTTACAACGATTTGTGTCAGCGTTTCCTACGAACATCACTAACATTTCCTAATGTAGCCCTATTGAAACGCTACCGTACATGTTCAAATGTCTCTGTTTACTTCATATCGTAATTGTGCTTGATTTTCTGTACTATCTATGTTGGTATCTTTGTATATTGCTGGAATAAAACAGCAAACGGAAGATGAGGTTGGGGGAATTGAGGAATGAGTATTGGGTTAAGTGTATGTATAGGATGTTTTAGTTAGGTGTAGGGATGGTAAAAGACTGCCCACACGAACAGGAGATATCAGGTTAGGCAGTGACGCTGATCAATATTGCCATACCTTATCAAACTGAGCATGAATGCGAGTGTTGAGAAATAGTATACTATTCTCAACACTCGTAATGATATGCGAAAACAAATTAAGGCTAAAACAAAGTTGTTATGAAACGTATTGCATATATTATGTGCATGGGTGACTGATGTAGCTATAAAGGTGCGGACAACACCCAGACGCTCGCTCTTGTTCAGTTCCACATTTTGAGAGGCAAGTGGCAAACGACCCACCCACCCACAAATTCGGGTGAGTCGTGCGCCGCAATTCTAAGCCAAGCTTTCAGCTTGGCTTAGGACGCTGATCAATATTGCCATACCTTATCAAACTGAGCATGAATGCGAGTGTTGAGAAATAGTATACTATTCGTACTATTCGTCGCCTATTCGTGGACTATTCGTACTATTCGTCGCCTATTCGTGGACTATTCGTACTATTCGTCGACTATTCGCGGACTATTCGCACTATTCGTCGACTATTCGCGGACTATTCGTACTATTCGTATACCATGCCCAAAATAAGCGGTGTGGTTTGAATTTTTTTTTATAGCACGCGTGCTATCGTTACAATACTCTGGAGAGTAAGTTATTCCACTCACTGCTTTTTTCGCTTTCTCCTTCGGAGGAAACAGAAGTCCCCACACGCTGGCTAAACTTTGTCACCTCTAATTTTTAATAATATAGTGTTGGCGTCGGTATGTCTAGAAGCGCTAACATAAACGGAAACGCCAAACTAAAGTGTGAAAATTATAGTCTTTGACTTTATGAAACTACCGCACAGCCAGTGCAAAAAAATGTAGTGACACATAAATAAATAAATATATATTTATTTATTTATTATAAATAAAACTTATCCAAACAATATAAGATATGCATTATAGTGCCGTGCCTTCGTGCTATCGTTACAAGAACCGATACATATTACTATAAGATATATGCATTATAGTACCGTGCCTTCGTGCTATCGTTACAAGAACCGACACATATTATTATAAGATATGCATTATAGTACCGTGCCTTCGTGCCATCGTTACAAGAACCGATACATATTATTATAAGATATGCATTATAGTGCCGTGCCTTCGTGCTATCGTTACAAGAACCGATACATATTACTATAAGATATGCATTATAGTACCGTGCCTTCGTGCTATCGTTACAAGAACCGATACATATTATTATAAGTTATGCATTATAGTGCCGTGCCTTCGTGCTATCGTTACAAGAACCGATACATATTATTATAAGTTATGCATTATGATAGTGCCGTGCCTTCGTGCTATCGTTACAAGAACCGATACATATTACTATAAGATATGCATTATAGTACCGTGCCTTCGTGCTATCGTTACAAGAACCGATACATATTACTATAAGATATGCATTATAGTACCGTGCCTTCGTGCTATCGTTACAAGAACCGATACATATTACTATAAGATATGCATTATAGTACCGTGCCTTCGTGCTATCGTTACAAGAACCGATACATATTATTATAAGTTATGCATTATAGTGCCGTGCCTTCGTGCTATCGTTACAAGAACCGACACATATTACTATAAGATCAGTATGCAATATACAGTAAGAAAATATTGACACTTATAACGCTACACAATATATAAAAAATATTTAATGTAGCATTTTAGGAAGTTGGAAATTTTTTGAAAGTCGGTGTGGTTTGTGTAACAATTGGATTATTCCATTTAAAATGACCAATTCGTTCAAATTCATATAATTGACATAAACAATCGTTTCCGTTGGACACCTGCGTTACACACAGTGATTCAGTATTGAATGCTGCGTATTGTTTATTATAAACAAGTATTCACAATTGATCGCTGTGCATTGTTTATTACAAAGAAGTATTCACTATAGATGTCCACGCCCAGTTGACACAAAGTTAACCGGCACCTGGATTCGCTTTACTTTGCGTCTGTTCAGCACTGGTGCAACATCTGCTTTACTCTAAAGCCAGGAGGAATCAGTTTGATTATATAAAGTGGAAATTTTTTTGTTGGTAAGTCTTTAACATTGTATCAATCTATTTTCAACTATTAGCATGTAGCAATTTGTTGTTTAATCGCGCAATGATGTGTGGTGTAAACAGTTAGCTTTATTACTTTCAGGTACGTTACCAATAATGGCTCAATCAAGTTCACCAATAAAAGGCTTGTCCGTCAGAGAAGACCAGCAAGGTTCGCGTGCGTTGCACAGTAAGACTGGCAAGGAACGGTATAAATGCATAGCTAATTTCTACTTCACCATAAAGGCCTTCGTCAAATTTCCGAAAGCCCACAGCAAGTATAATGGATACATTATAAACGTCCAGCGTACAGATGGTGTAGCTATGTAAGTAACTTGCATTAATTTTTGTTGTTGATAGTAGTGTTATTAAGACATGTACACCAGACGCGATTCGACAATGCGGCGCAATTTTTCGATTTTCACTAGGTAACCGATAACTTTGATCCTGGTTTACGTTTTTCAACTATTTAGAAGCGCTGTAAACACTGATCTGCATATCTTTTAAAAATTCCTTTCATTAAAAATCATGCCACGTTGTCAAATTGCGTCTGGTGTGTCTCGGCCTTTACGATCAAACCCTTCAGTCGTTATAGATTAGATTACCGGTTACTCAATACTCGTTAAACTCATTATAAGTCGGAACTCGTTATAAGTCGGATTAATTAAAGGAATAAAGCGACAGTAATTTTACAACGCTACAAGCCATCAAAGAGTCAAAAAGTCAAGTCGAATTGTGTCTTAGTTTAAAATCCGAAAGAAAACTAGTTATTAATTAGACTCTTGCTTTGGCGCATATGTTTATTGCGCAGTTTGTCGCCGCTAATATTCGCATGCAAATTTTATAGAAACAAACGCTACTACAAATATTCAATGAATGTGATCGAGATTACCGGCCACACTATAGCTATCACAACTGAAACCGATTAGCTTGTAAAATATTTTTTCAGAAACCTTGTCTGAATCAGTAGCCTAGAGTAGGAGTTTTCGTCACCGCTAAAATTAAAAACAGACAATCTCATTCAACTGATTCAAGCCTCTTTTCCACAAGGCTGATTTTCTTCGAAGCGACCTTTTCCTTTGCCGGTGTCACAGCGGACTCCCCACGGATAAGGACCCCCCCCCCCCCGTCCATATCAGCTAGCGGATTTGGACCCCTATAGTACATATCCGCTAGCTGATATGTACCCCCATCCGCGGAATTGGACCCCTAAAATTCACAAAAAGTGCAGTTGAATGTGCATGGAAATTTAAGCGTCAGTTTAATTTAAATTATGATAACTAATGGCATGACTCAACTATCTTTGAATTTTCTTAATGACGAAAACAAATTATTGAGATACTAATTTTATAAAAGTTTAGGGGTTGAATGGAATGCGTCACTTTGTTATGGGTATGTTAATAAGGCAAAAAACAATTTGAAATATATTTTCAGTTTCCGTTTTTATTTGAGCAGTTGAGAATCAGAGCAGATAGCAATTCCAAGGAGTAAAATACTTGTGAAGGCTCCACGCGCTTCCAGTTCTCGCACATACCAAGATCATAGAAATAAACTCATGCAGCAGAAAAATTATAAATCATAAACTTTGACGGCATTCTTTAATCTAAAAATCTAAGATTTGATGATCTAAAAATCTTTAGTACGGTTTTTAAAATAAATCAGATGACATTTATGACAATTTAAAACGCTTTCAGTGCAATGTTCAACATACAATACGTTGCAATGATAAAATACGCGAAAGGTTCAAATTCGCGAGGGGAAAACTAAACTAAACCAAATTGTCTGAACTTTTGTACAGTAATTAAAAACACGACAAATTTCCCATCTATTAACTCTGATTACATTACATTAAAATATGATTACAACTTTTAAATTTTGTGCGCAAGCCATTTTAGTTTGTTGGAAAAGACACACCCCCTGGTTCACAAAATTTGAGTTCGTGAAATTTTTTCATTATTCTACATTAATATAAATACCCAAGGAAGCTATATATATATATATATATATATATATATATATATATATATATATATATATATATATATATATATATATATTATTATTATTATTATTATTATTATTATTATACAATATTATAGATACTCCCAATTGGGCTTTTCAGGATCTAATTACAAATATAAAATTCTATATCTATAAAAGTATCTAAAAATGAATTTTGAGTTTTGACCTAAGGTATAAAATAGGCTATAGTTCTAAAATATTCTATAAATCTGTTAAACACCACTTACAGTTAAAAATTCTTCTAATAACATACGTTTGTATTCTACTTTAAAATGAGTCAAAGTATCAATGTTTTTAAGAGACTGAGGCAGAGAATTCCACAAGGACACAACCCTATAGTGAAATGTTCGTTGACCCGCAGCTGATCTGTACATTGGTATATCCAAAATGTTCTTTTGCCTTGTGTTAACGCCATGAACATCTGACCTGACATGGAACTTCTCACGCAAATACAATGGTGCCAACCCCTTCAAGCATTTAAAGCAAAAATGGCTTCTCTTAATTTTAACATGTATTTAACTGGAAGCCAGCCCAGTTGTTGCAGAACAGGAGTCACGTGATCGTATTTTCTTGTTCCTGTAACAATACGTGCAGCAAAGTTCTCGATATTTCTTTGGGATGTATTAGACCAAACAGCAGAGCAGTAATACATTTTGCTAAAAATCAAGGAATTTATAATAAGAATTAATGTTTTTCTGTCAAAGATATGTTTAACTCTGCTAATTTGGCCCAATCCAGCGATACAAGATGAAACAACGCTTGCGATATGTTCGTCGTAGCTCAAACATGAGTCCAATATCATCCCTAAATCCTTTGCAACAGCAACTGGAGTAATATTCTCACCAAGGATAGTTATTTGAAAATTTTTAGGTACCTGTTCTAACATTTGCCTAGTACCTAATATAAGCAACTTGGTTTTTTCTGGATTCACCAATAAACTGTTAAGACAGCACCAGGCGGTAATTCTTCGCATGTCTTCAGTGAGTTTCATAGCTGCCAACTCGGCATCCCTGATTGAGAATGCTAAATATATTTTTGAGTCATCCACGTACGACTCCAAATTGGACTCCTTGGGTACACCAGGCAAGTCGTTGATATATATATTAAATAACACCGGACCCAGTATCGATCCCTGCGGAACACCGCGAGTTATTTCACATTCATCAGATAACACTGACGCAATACGTACTGATTGGCACCTGCCTGTCAAATAGCTTTTAAACCAAAACAACGCAGGCTTCGAGATTCCAATATTCGAAAGTTTTCTTAGCAGAATGGAATGATCTAAGCTATCAAAAGCTTTAGACAAGTCCAGTAAGAGTAAAGCAGTCACTTCTCTACGATCCATGGACTGGAGAATTAAATCTGAGATGAATATGTTTAATGTTTCGGTTGAATGTAACTTCCTATTTCCACTTTGATGTTTAGTAAATTTTTTCTTCTTTGTCATATACTCTGTTAGCTGTTTCAATACCACACGTTCACAGATCTTAGATGCAGCCACTAACAACGACACGGGCCGATTATTGTAGGAAGGATGTACGGTAAGGCGTCCTTGATCACAGCCATTGATACTTTGTCAAATCCTGGTGCCTTATTTGATGAAAAGGACATAACAACCTTACTTATTTCACTACACGATACTGAATGGAAATAAAACTGATCGATCTCAGGTATTTCGGTAGATGTTGGTGGATTCAGTATGGGTAGTCCATGTTCAGTAAGCAATGCCAATGTAGTTGCTGATGTATTTATCCCCACTGAGGTAAAAAAGGTATTGAATTCATTAGCTAATTTCTTAACATCTCCGGAATAACTTGGTTTCGTGGTCTCTTTACGTGGAACGCAGTTCCTGATGACTTTCCACATCGATGCTATATTTGGGTTATTATATATTTCATTGTGTACATAATCTTTTTCTGCTTGGCGTAGCTTACATTTAACTTTATCTCGAAGCGCACGATATTTCTCCCAATCAGATGGCATTCGGGTTAGACGAGCAAATTTGTGTAATCTTTTTCTATTTTTCATCAGTTCTTTGATCTCATCGTCAACAAATGGTACTTGTCGATGTCTTATTTTCATTGTCTTAATTGGTGCATTCCTAGCCAATGCATTTTGAAAATTACTATCAAAATGCGACAGTTTATCATTTACATTTTCAACAAATAAATTCTCATGCCACGGAATGCATGCCAAATCACAGAGGAATTGGTTTCGGTCGTAATGCTTATAACTCCTTGCAGTGATGCAAATTGGATGCGGTTTTATCAACTTTAGTTTGAGTGAACAGTAAACCAGAAAATGATCACTAATATAGGTTTCAAGCACTCCAATTTCTGCAATCAAATCTTTATTTGAAGTCATCATGACATCAATAAGCGTTGACGAACGTGACGTGACCCTCGTCGGTTTATCAATTAACTGTGTCAAATTTAAACAGTGACAAAAATCATTCAAAACCTTTGCCTCTTGAGCTGTCTTTAACAAGTCGCAATTTAAGTCTCCAGCAATTATGATATCTTTACCAAAAGTGAGTGCTTTGATATAATTATCCATAAAATTATTGGTAAAACAAGATACAGGATTATCTGGAGGTCGGTAACAAACGCATAATAGAAAAGATTTCAATTTTTTATGCTGAATTTGTAACCATAACTGATGAAAACCAGATTCTGAAATTTCTGTTAAATCCCTAAGCACCTTTTTTTTCAACGAGCTCTTGATATAGGCACACACACCCCCACCGGATCTCCCTCGCCGGTCCAATCTAGATAGACTGTATCCGAAAATTTCAACCTCTTCATTTCTCACACTGGACGTAAGCCAAGATTCCGACACGGCAAGTACATCAAACTTATTTTCCTGCATCAAAAGTCTTATCTGAATTAAATGTTCCCTCTTTTTTAGAGAGCAAATATTTAAATGTGCAATATTAATTTTCGATTTTTGAAGACCACATTTATTGGCTGCGATAGAACTGTTCTTGGACGTAGTTGTATGCTTATTTTGACCAGATGCGTTCATTTCAGGTATTATTTCAATTAGATTAGAGTTATTTGTGCGTGAATTTTTTGCGAAATTGAGAGCAATTTCAAATCTGTTCAGTTTTTTTTATACACCCTGTATATGATTAATAAAAAATCTATGGAATGTGTTGCGCAGCGTATAGCGTGAGGCGGTTTCTACAAAAAACCGAAAACCGACCCGAAAAAACCGAGTGAACCGGTTTTTTGAAAAAATACGTTCGAAAATCAAAACTACAGTAAAAAAGCCACAACACGCTACTCAGTACTCACGTGAAGACGTTATCAAATTTCAAACAAAATCTCTTTAGTTTTTCGTGTGTAAATGCCAAAACGTGATTCAATTGCAGCAAACTCGTATAAGTATGGTTTGATTTCAGCAAAATACCGATTTTTCTTCGTTTTTTCCCCTGTTTCCTCCCGGGTATTTCGGTTTTCCGGTTTTTCTCCAAAAGTAACATCGAGTATTTCGGTTTTCAAAAAACATGGTTTACCGAAAAACCGCCTCACCCTAGCAGCGTATTGTCCTTTGAGTCGTCAACTTTCCATGTCAGTGTCAGTGATGTAATGTTGATTCTTGACTTCCGGAAAAAAATTGCATGATATATATGCCTAATGTTGTAGTTTATTCAAATAATTTCATGATACTTTGATTTTATTAGTGCCTTAAACATTTGAGAAATCCATGTAACTCTGCAAAACTAAAAGCTTTTTTTGTCTTTTTTAAAACGTATATTATTGTCGTATTGCCTATTGAGTACTGGCAAGTTCTACCCTTCGGCTTTGCTTGAGATTTTCAAACTATACTGAAATAATGCAAGTAAAAAATAGGGATAACTTATAACTATAAGGACTATAAGTGAAAAACAATGCAAAACAATTTTAACAATACTTTAATAATCTCTTATATTTTATATTTATAAATGCATTCTGAAAATATTTAAAATATTAAATATTTAAT